TGCACAAAAAAGCATTAATTTACAAGTTCAAGACGACAAAACCGTAGCTTCTTGATGGGAGGTAGATAAGTAAGTTCTGTCACTAAGTAAGGAGCTATTAGCAGTTGATAGCTACTAGAACAGGGAGAATAAGTCTTCTCTAACAGTGTGGCCTGTGATTGGTTCACCATGGTCTGGTAAAAGCCATTCCCAAGAACATATGGGTGGCACAAGTAAAAGTTGATGAGCTTTAAAAAGACGAGTGGACACAAATTTGGATGTGTAAGGAAGTGAACATGGGTCTCGGGTAAGTACAAGTAGGGGATATGATCAAAATTTGTGTGAGGAAAAATAAATTTATTTAATTGGACTCTGATCAAATGGTTTTGAAATGTTGCTGGTATTCTGAATCTAGTGACAACAACAGCTTCAGTTGTTAGATTTATTGTGTCACCTATGTTTGCCTGGATGTATGTAGACATTGGATACACAGACCTAAGTAAGCAGAATGAGAAAAGGCAGCAAGAGAGTGATCTCACAGATACAAGCCACCATGCCTCCAAGTTACAGGTATAACTCTTTCAATAGTTCTTTGATTTTTTGCTTTCAAAAATCATAAGTGGAGAAGATGTATTCATATTTTAAACAAAGCTTATCTCTTTGCCTATGCCAAACTTTTCCAAGTTAGTATAAAATGTGTCATTTGGAACAATCTAATTTTTGACAACTAGATCCAAAACTAATTGGTTACACTTAGTGAAAGGTGCACTTTCACTTGGTGATGGATTGGATTTAGAAATACAGCAATTACAGAGTGAAGCTTTGGGAAGATGCTGTAAGGTTGAGTGGTTGAAGAATGGTTAGAAGGGTTTGAGCAATTCCACCGTGTCTTGGTTTTCATGCTTTCCTTGATCCTAACAAAGGGTTTGGTATATGGTCCCTTTCAGCTGGAGGATGAAGGAATGCAATCTAGGTGATCCCTATGGCATTTTATCTTCTCAAAGCAAACATTCCTTTATAATTCAGAGAAATTCGCCAAAATATGGAAACTCTTAATTTCAAACCTTCTTGCCAATATCACATTTATCTTCATTATTTCTCTCATTTTTCTATGCAAAAGTCAGTAAAAATCATATCCCCCCTTAGCTCAGGTTTGTAGGCCCACCATGAGGATTTGATATCTTTATCCTGAATCATCAAGATCTCTTTTCATCACTCTTTTCCATAGCCATCTCAACCCTCTACCTCCACTCTCTCTTTATCATGAAGTACTCTCCATCCTATGCAGTCTTTCTACATGTATGATATTTTTTATGTCCTCAAACGACTTTGTAGCTAATTTTATGATTAACTGTTTCTCTTCATAGTCAAGTATCTTGAAAGAAGTCTGAATTCAGAAGACTTCTGATTCTCCAGCAACCCCATACACTTTTCAACTGCAATCTTATTTCTCTGGCTCATAAAATAGAATCAGCTGTTTTTTTTTAAATAACCATGTGCTCACTTTTTAAAATTTTAGAAGGCTAACTAAGCACCTAAACCTCAGCATGGCAAATATGGGTCTCAAACTCCAACAGAAAAAAAAGTATGTGGTATCTCATAATCCTTCTCTTTATTTACTGAATCATCACATAATCCTCCTTCCTCTTGTCCTAACTCCAGTGTCACTTATTCTCATTCATCACACTTCCAGAATAAATCTTTTAAACAAATATGATCCATGCCTGTGAACCTATAGTGATTTCAGAGCAGACTTCAGTAACAAATCCAGGTTCGGCAGAACTGGACAAATAGTTCTTTGTGACCATTTTATCTTTATTACTTGAGTTCCTTTCTTCTTCCCCACTAATTTCTCATTGATACCCTTTGCAGTAACCATCACTTTGTGTGTAACTTTCAAAAGACCCTTTCATCTCACACTTTTGAATCTTCTGGTGGTTCTTCCACTTTCCATTAGTGTAGTCCTGAGAATCTCATCCAAGACATATCTCCTCTTCAGAGATGCCCCACCTTACTAGCTCTCTGCTGGATCAGAGCCCACCAAATGCATGATAATATTTTTAGACACCATAGGAAGGAACCTGACTCAACATATAAGTGATTGCAATATTAACAAATTCAATTCCTTCCCAATTTCTTATCTCATCAGAAATCTAAGGACTTCAAAGTATTTATTTCCAAATTAGAGTTGACATCACAGTAGGTCTAGAGAAGTCCCAAACTCTCTCTTGTTTTCAATACAAGCCCTTAATCAAACTACTTCTCATTCACTTCCATGTTCACCCTTATTTTAAATCTCATACAGAGCTGGGGAAAGAGCTCTTTTAATGGTAATAATTGAAAAAATTAGGCTATATTTAGAAATAAGTACCTGTATCATATAGAAATTCTTGAGATCTTGATGGCTACAACTGGATTTTCATGTCTATTTGTATCTCTTTTTATTTGGTAATGGATGAAGTAAATTTTATGTTTTTGCCTCCATAATTAACTCTTGATGTGCTAAAATTAAGAATGATTTCAGAATAGTTTCCAGACAATTCTTTGTAGTGTAGAAAGGTAATTTTTTTCTGTATTTTTTGGTTTTTCAATACAGAGTTTCTCTGTGTAGCCCTTGCCTTCCTGAAACTCACTATGTATACCAGGACAGCCTTGAACTAAGAGTTCTGCCAGCCTCTGCCTCCTCAGTGCTGGGATCAGAGGTGTGCACCACAACCACATGGCAACTTTTGCTATAATTTTGCATCTGACAACTCACAACAACCCATGGTTCCGGAGGGTTAGAGTTCATGACTATCATGACAAGGAGCATGACAGCAGGCAGTCAGGCACAATATGAGGATGGTAGCTGAAATTTTATATCTTGATCATAAACACAAGACAGAAAGAGAGAGAAAGAGAAAGGGAGCAATAACTGAAAATGGCACACCTCCTTCAACAAGGCCATGCCCTCACTCATTCCCAAATAGCTCCACTAACAGGTGGAAATGAAGAAGATTTCGTGGGCTTCTGAGACATCATCCTAGATCCACCTTCAGTGAGAAACATTGCCTCAGAGGAATAAGGTGGAAAGTGATAGATGACACTTGCTATTTCTCCTCTAATCTCTTTGAGAACAGAGCAGACAATATTTATGGTCACATGTGCAGATTTATATGCTTGTGAACACACACACCACATGCACACTCATGCACCACATATACACACATCAAATAAATAAATGTAATAAAACAAACACATATAAATTATGTTTATTTTAAACAAGAAGGTATATATTCCTTTCAAAAGTTTTAAATAGGGGCTGGAGAGATGGCTCAGTGGTTAAGAGCATTGCCTGCTCTTCCAAAGGTCCTGAGTTCAATTCCCAGCAACCACATGGTGGCTCACAACCATCTGTAATGAGGTCTGGCGCCCTCTTCTGGCCTGCAGGCATATACACAGACAGAATATTGTATACATAATAAATAAATAAATAATTTAAAAAAAAAGTTTTAAATATTTGTGGCGTTAGGGATCAGATTTCAAGGTATTGCACATACTAGTTAAGTGTTCTGCCCCTGACCTATACACACAGCCTCCTTATTCCAAAATTTAGTATAGAGCATCAGTGACATTTTAAAGATTTAAAATAATTTATTCATTCATTCATTCCATAAGTGATACAAAACCCTTGTGACAGGACATTGGCATTCTTTCCCCAGGAATCTATGATTCAGTCCAGAAGTTTACTTGGTACTGAGAAGCATATAGACTGTCAGAGGCCAGCACTAGCAGGGTTATGAGTTGCAGGTCAGAGGTGTGAAACTGGTGAAAATTGAAGAGTCTGACTACTGGTTGTCTTTCAAACAGATGACACTGAATACCTCACGTTGTTTTTATTTATCTAAGTTCTAATGCATTCAAGCATGAGCAGTTTCAATACTGTTTAATTTCTCTGTAATCATTTTCCAAGAATCATTAATATTTGTGCATTTTAGTTTATTTTCCTCTTCCCTGCTTCTTTGATGTCATTGCCCCATATCATTGATTTTTATATTGCAAGCCACATGATTACATCCAGCCAGGCATATCTTCTTCATACTGTGCCCTAGCTGGCAGCAAGCATGTGGTTATAAATATAAGAGATTCAAGCTTTATGATTACTCCCTAATTATATGATACTTTTTATGTTTCTGTAGTCATCTGAATGTATGATTCCATTAGGATATTACTTTCATGTGCAATTCAATTTCTAAATAGACTGTATATCACCTTTATGTGGAAAACAGCTATAATTGTATTCTTTATAAATTGTCAAAATGATGATGATTACATAACCATTTAACTATTGGGGCTAAAGTTCTATTCTTCCTGGAAGTTTATAAGTGTACTTTTTACTTCCAAGGGAACTAGGAATTTATAACTAGAAAACACATCTAGCTGATTATTAATACTGGCACCACAGAGATGTCTACCTTGCATATTCTTCACCTTTTCCTTACGTGTACCTATTAGTTTTTAATGTAATCTTTAAAGAAATCATAGCCCCAGTTCTTAGGTTCTTTGGAGGTTTAAAATGCTTGGGGAAAGGTTGAATAATCAGGAAAGAGGTCACATTCATTTACTAAAATTATACAAGGCTCAAAAGAAGCCTTCACTAATGTTTTGGAAAGATTGACTTCAGATGTAAATAGAATAGTATCAGATTCAGAAGTTAGACAAATATTAGTCAAATCTTTGGTTTTTGAAAATGATAATTCAGAATACAAAAGAGTGATTAGAACTTTAAAGGCAAGATTAACAATGATAGATGAATGGATATCAGAAATATAGCTTATATTGGATCACACATTTATGATACCTCTCTGATAGAAGTACTTTCTTTTTTTCCTAAAATTTTAGAAAAAATTGCATGGAGTGGATAGTCCTTATGTGTATATGTTGCTTATATTGGTTAATGAATAAATCTGTTTTGGCCAGTGGCTTAGAAATAGAACTCGGCAGGAAAACTAAACTGAATGCCAATAGAAAGGAGGTGGAGTCATGGAGAAGCCGTGGAGCTACCACCAGAGTCAGACATGCTGGAACCTTGCTGGTAGGACATGAGCCTAATGGCAAAACATAAAATAATATAAATTGGTTAAGAAATAAGAGTTAGAAATATGCATAAGCTAATAGACCAAGCAGTGTTGTAATTAATACAGATTTTATTTTATTATTTTGAGGCTGAGGATCTGGAAAACGAAAAAGCAGTCTCTCACTACAACTGCTGTGTCAGATGATTTAATTGCGATAATCAAGGTCATTTGAAAAGGGACTTTAGGTAAGGCATTTCTAGAGACAATGTTTTTGCTAGAGGTAATCCAAAAACAAGGCCCCAGAATTCTAAAGTATTCATAAGGTGTGGCAAAGCTCCATATTGGACAAAAGGATGCAGATCAACAAGGAATAGGTAACCCTTTGCTATTGGCAAATGCCCTAAGGGGCTTCCTTGAAGCTCAAATAACAAATTTTATTCACTCGCTCTCTGTCAGCATTAGAGAAACTCATCCACAGAACAATGAAAAGATTGCATGTTGTTAAGAAAAGCACTGCTCTGGATGTAGTCAAGTACAGAACAACTTCAGTACACATAACAAAATTTTATAAGAGATCATAAAACAAGTGTTTTGGCAAACCCCCATAAATGATCACACTCCTTACTGACCAAAGGTCAGAGAATTCAAGCATACTTCTACTCCTTTTGAAATTGGAGATTTAACCTAAGGAGTGACTGCCTTTGGGATACTTGGTCTAGGGTTGGTTCACTGCCTAATCAAGAGAACGTTTTTCCCATTAATTAATGGCTTGATGTCTCAAAGTATTAAAGTGAGTAACTGTTCTAGTTGTCCTTTGTATCACGTTAAAGCAGTCTTTGCCTTCTTCTGCCCTTTGGTATTGGGGTAAGAATATGTATATGCTGTGGGAACCTTCAGCCAATAACATTTAAGATACCAGCCCACTTGGGCATGGTCTCTTATACTGTAAATGCAGCTACAAAGCATGTTCTCTCTCTCTCTCTCTCTCTCTCTCTCTCTCTCTCTCTCTCTCTCTCTCTCTCCCAACTCTCTTTTCTGCCTACAGGATTCAGTTGCTGTTTCCCATTCCAGCAGAGGCTTGTGATCTGTGAGTCTACCCCTAAATAAATAACCCTTTATTATTCATAATTCTGAACTTGTGTGGAATTATTTTATGACTTCTGCCTTTATTTGGCACCCAACTGTTCAGCTTAAGAGTCCAATCCCCTTCCCCCACACATCCTCCTCTGGGCTCAGAGCACACCAAGCTCAGCATGAGTCCTCCCTCAGCCCACCTTGGCCAAGGCCTGTGTGCAGAGCCAGCAGTTCATTTGGATATAGAATTATTGTGCAGTGACTTTCCTTGCTATGGACCAGATGTGGTTCTTTATATTTTTCCATTACGCACCTTAGAGTGGCTTCAAGTCCACACACACCCTACCACTTGCCTCCCACCAGTGCACACCATGGAAACTCAGGTGAGATGTGGGCTTCCCAGGTCTGATCCAGCTGTTCTTCAGCTTCTGACAATTTGTCTGCATTTGCTATTCCACTGTTCTAGAGACATTCACAGAGTACAAATCTATAATTAAAATACATAACTGTTTTTAATCTCAGTATATCTTTCAGCTTTTCACACTAAAATCAGATTCAAACCAGCCATGCAACTCCAAATCACCATTAGACCCAGCTGGGTTTGTTTTGTAGGTGGTCCATGACTTCTACTGGCAGGTAACAGATATTACACCTACTCCAGCTCACAATCAACCATAGGTAAGGTGTACAACTTTAAATACTTTATAAATTAAAAGGGCAATATGTCCGACAACCAAACCATCCAGGGTTTCAATAGCCTCTTTACTTACACCATGTACAAGGTTTTTACAAGATTTATATGATTTCCCTCCTACATCACTATTTCTGATTCTGGGGATTAGTCTTGGTCTCAATATTTTTTCATAAAAATATGGTTTAATAGTACAGTCTTTAGAAACTGATAACAAGCTTCTCAAAAAAGAGGTCGGAACTCTGAAGTATATGAACAATTTAACTAAGAAAACTCAGTCAAATGAGGTACTTTTAGAAATGGTACAGACTAACAGTAATTTATTAAGAGGAAAATTCAGCACTATGGAGAAGGATACAGCTGATTTGGCACATAAACCAAGTCAATGACAGTGGGTACTGAAATATATTTGAGAGAATTTGTACTGTTGAGATGTAGGTGGACCTTCTGTCTATGTGTTATTTTTATTGGTTAATAAAGAAACTGCCTTGGCTCTTGATAGGACAGCAGCTTAGATAGGTGGAGTAGACAGAACAGAATTCTGGGAGAAAGAAAGCTAAGTCAAGCAGTCGCCATGATTCTACCACCCGAGACAGACACAGGTTAAGATCTTTCCTGGTAAGCCACCACCTCGTGGTGCTACATAGATTATTAGAAATGGGTTAATCAAGATGTCAGAGTTAGCCAATAAGAGGCTGGAACTAATGGGCCAAGCAATGATTAAAAGAATACAGTTTTCATGTAATTATTTTGGGTAAAGCTAGCCAGGTAGTAGAATGCAGCCCGCCATTCCTTCTACACTGTTGGATGTATTAATCAGACTCTGTCAAAGAGGTATGACAGACAGACTGATAGAATGTCTCTCCAGGAAGGTAATATGCATGCCATGAAGATTATGTTCAAAGATAAAACATTATCTCTACTGGAGAGACTTCAGACCTTGGAACCTTCATTGAGGATATTGGAACAGAACACTGGACAGGAGATCCAGACTTTACAAAATGCAGTGCTAAATAAATTTGAAAAGAATGAGGAACTTATTGAATTTGATGACCAGGGACAAAAGATACAAAGACAAAATTTAGCCTCATCAGTACATAAAAACCTCTGGGAAAGCTTCCCCAGAGTTCTGCCTGCCTTTCTAGTGATAACATCAAAAAGAATACCTGGCTCCAAATACCCTAAGGTTGCAAAGAATATTCATGGAAGCCCATGTGTATGATTGATCTAAAGGAAATTAAACAAGCAATTGTAGCTTACAGACTGCATTCATCCTTTGTTAGGGAAATGGTCAAAATGTGGGCTTCCAGTAACAAAGTAACACCATAAGACTGGAACCAGTTAATGTCAGCAGTCCTAGAAAGTGGACCACAGATGCTTTGCAGATGCTATTTTAAGGAAAATGCTAAAACGTTAGAGCAACAAGAAAAAGCAAAAGGACTTGATATTTCCCTAGATCAAATTCTAGGCAAAGGACTTTACTCTGATTCTCAGGATCAAGCTTTTTATGATAACCACACCTTGTCCCAATGTAGCAAGCAGCTTTAAAGGCTTGGGACACAATTCAGGAATTAGAAATAGAGTTGAATCATGTACTAGTATTAAACAGCTTCAGAGAGAGCCTTTGGTGACTTTTTACAAAGACTAACTAGTACAAATAAAGATAACTGACCCAAATGATAGACAGATAATAATTGAATTTTTGGCTTATGACAATGCCAACTTAGAATTCAAAAGGATTCTTGAGCCTTTAAAGATCAGATCAGCACCCATGGATGAATGGGTCTTGCATATTATGAATGTCGAGACACTTGACTTTGGTATTGAAGCTTGAGTAGGAGAAGCAATTTCCAATGGAAAGAGAAGACATAAAAATGTCAAATGTTTTAATTGTGATAAAATGGGACATCTGAGAAGGGATTGTAAACAAGGGATTCCTAGGAATAATGTTTCCTCTGAAAAGGGCAAAAATAGGAGGACTCAGTCTTCAGGTGTATGTAGGAGGTGTGGCAAAGGTTGACAATGGACCAATGAATACAAGACAACAAAGATAGACAAAACAACCCGATTCCATCAGTAAACACCATGGGGGGTCTCTTGCAGGCCGCCATGACAAACGTGGTTCAGTCATTCCCAGTTACTGTAGAGAATGTGTCTCATCGGGAAAAATAAAAAAAAAAAAAAATCCAGTGACCAATGTAAAAAACAATACTAGTCTCAATGTTTGAATAAATGTGGAGGATTAATCAAAAACTCCAGTAGGACATAGGAAACATATATTCTGGCAAATTTCTATAAATGATCAAAGACCAAATCTAAGAGTGTGTACAAATGGCATTTATATTGAAGGCTTATAGACACAGGTGTAGATGTAAGTATCATTACTCCAGAATCTTGTTATCCAAATTGGCCTCTTCAAGAGGTAGATGTTCAGTTCTAGAAATTGGCATCCTATCTAAGATAAAAGAAAGCACGAGATGTGTTGAATGTCTAGGCCCAGAAGGACAGAAGGAAGTTTGAGGCCATATGTAGCTAATATTGCAGTGAATTTGAGAAGTTGTGACCTATTGCAGCAATGGAATACCCAGATTAACATTCCTTCAGCAATAAAACCTTATGTTTCTTGGGGAAAACAACAGAAAATATAGATGATCATCACCAGCCATTCAGTCTGTACAAGAACACAGAGCAATTGATAAATCTTCAGAGGTACTAATGGCCCTGTCTTAAAAATGGTTAACTCAGAAACCAATATGGGTTAAACAGTGGCCTCTAGCTGAAGAATAGCTGCAGACTTTAGAACAGCTGGTACAAGAGCAACTAGATGCTCACCATATTGAAGAATCAACCAGCCCTTGGAAGTCTCCTGTGTTTGTTGTAAAAAAGAAATCTGGTAAATGGAGAATGGTGACAGATATTAGAGCTATCAACAAGGTTATTCAACCTACAGGCCCTCTACAATCTGGAATTCCTCTGCCTTCTCTGTTACCAAAGGGATGGCCTCTCATAGTTATTGATTTAAAGGATTGTTTCTTCACTATACCTTTACAAGAAAAGGATAGAAAAAAAGTTTGCCTTCACAGTGCCTACTTATAAAAATTCTCAGCCTACTAGAAGATATCAATGGACCATCCTCCCACATGTAATGCTCAATAATCCCACTTGTGCCAATACTTTGTCCACCAGCCATTGGAAATAATATGTAAGCAATATATTTACTAAGTCTATAATTTACCATTACATGGATGACATTTTGTTATCTGATTCAAATACAAATACTTTAGAAAGGATGTTTGAAGAAGTAAAGAAAGTTTTGCCTAAGGGGGAATTACAAATTGCTCTTGAAAAGATTCAAAGAGGAGATTCTGCTAATTAATGCTAATTACCTGGGTTACAGAATAGGTTTGCAGAAAATTAGAACAAAAAAGGCACAAATTAGGAGAGAATGGTTGTGGACTCTTAATGACTTTGAAACACTATTGGGAGATATCCCCAGTCTACAACCAGCAATTGGGATAACACCTGACCTAATAGTTCATCTGAATAAAACCTTAGATAGTGATAAGGACTTAAATAGACCCAGAAAATTAACAGCTGAAGCAGAAAAAGAGTTGACAATTGTTGAGGAGAGATTATAGGAGGCACATTTGGATAGGGTGACTCCAAATTGTAATTGTATTCTAGTCATACTGCCTTCCAGAATTTCTCCTATAGGAATTTTAATGCAGAGGGATGATATTATCTTAGAATGAATCTTTTTACCACATGAACCAAATAAAAAATTAAAAACTTATGTGATAAAGTCTCTGAATTAATTATAAAAGCTAAATTGAGACTTTGTCCATTAGCAGGTATAGACCCAGCAGAGATTATGGTGCCTTTTACTGCTGATGAAATTTTTAAAAAGTTATGGGAAGACAGTAATCCCTGATAAAGGGCTTATGCTAATTTTGGGGGATAAATTAATAGCAATTTTCTCCAAAGTGATAAACTTAACCTTATAAAAAGAACTTCTTGAATTCTTCCCCAAACTGTACATGATGTACCAATAACTGGAGCCCATATATTTTATACTGATGCAAATAAATTAGAGAAGACAGGTTACAAATCAGAAGAATTAAGTAAGGTAAAACAAAGCCCACATAATCCTGTCCAGAAGGCAAAATTATAAGCTATTCTTATGGTACCAAGGAATTTTAAAGAGACTCTCAATATAGTTACCAATTCACAACATGCAAAAAAAGTTGTCTTTCATATTGAAACCAATGAATTTATACCAAATGTTACAAAATTGCCTTCATTGTTCATCCAGGTGAAAAACATAAACAGTAATAGGATTTTTCCTATATACATAACACATATCCAATCCCATACATGTCTGCTAGGTCTTCTAGCATAAGGTAATACAGAAATTGATCAATAACTTATTGGAAGTGTGTGACAGCCCTCTGATTTGCATTAAAAAATCATTATGCCAATAGCAAAGGTTTAAAGAAAGAGTTTTCTTTTACATGGCAACAAGCTAAAGAAATTATAAAAAGATGTCCTACTTGCTCTTTCTATAATCAAACATTGTTGCCTGCAGGGAGTAACCATAAGGGTACTTAAAGCAATAAAATTTGGCAGATTGATGTGTTCCATTTTGCATAATTTGGTAAATTAAAATATGTACACCACACCATAGACACATGCTCAGGTTTTCAATGGGCAACTGTCTTGAACTCAAAAAAGTCTGATTCACTAATGACACATTCATTAGAAGTTATGGTCATCATGGGCATTCCTGCACAAATAAAGAGAAACAATGGTCCGGCATTTACTCTAAAAATATGAAATGTTTTTTTTTTTTTGCTTATTGTAATATAAAGCACATTACAGGTATAGCAAATAATCCTACAGGTTAGGCAGTTATATAAAGGTCAAATCGTACTATAAAGGATATATTGAACAAACAGAAAGGGATGTAAAATACCCCCAGAAATAGACTACATAATGTTTTACTAACTTTGAATTTTCTTAATGCTAATAAGAACGGAACAACAGCAGCAGAGAGGCATTGGATAACAGAAAAAAAGCTTCTGAATTGAATCAACCAGTGTATTTCAAGGTTGTCTTGACCTCACAATGGAAACCAGGAGATGTGCTACATTGGGGAAGAGGTTTTGCTCTTGTTTCCACAGGAGAAGAAAAACTATTGATACCATTAAAATTAATAAAGATTCACTTTGAAAAGGAGGAAACTCTTGAAAAAAAGAAATGACAGCTCTTCCACAATGGTGACAACCATACAGGAGGTAAGGAAAGCATTTGGGCAGCATTCTGCTTTTATCTTTATAGAAAAATATACATTTTTAACAATTCAAGAGACCCTGGATGTTTGAATGTTGACAGAAGTAAAATATAGCTATCCACTAAGGATCATCTAGAAAAAGGAATATGAGTGCTGAGGTCAGGTAATTAATACATATACATTCATATATATACATATATGTGAATATATATGAATATATATACATATATATGTATATCTATGAATATGTAGAGCTGGTTTTGGAGTTGGACAATGGCTCTGTACTTCTCTAAATCCAAGAATGTTGTTAAAAGGAACATTCAGAGTTTCTGTCTCATATTGGAAGCCATCTCATATCAGACAGAAGGAAAATGTTAGTGTAGGAGGAGGGCCCACTTTTTCATCCTGCTGCCTAGTTAGTTCCCAGCTGCCCTGCTAGCTTAGCTCTGAAATAACCACAAAGAAACTGTATTCATTAAATCACTGGTTGGCCATTGCTCTAGCATCTTATTGGCAAACTCTTACATCTGAATTTAACCCATTTCTATTAATCTGTATATCACCACGAGGTCATGCTCTACCAGCATAGTTCTGGCATGTCTGACTCTGGCAGCAGCTCCATAGCATCTCCTCTGACTCCACCTTTCTTCCACCCAGCATACAGCCTAGCTATCTCTGCCTAGTTCTGTTCTTCCCTGCCATAGGCTCAAAGCAGTTCTTTATTCATTAGCCAATAGAAACAAAACATAGATAGAATGACCTCCCACAGTTTAAACGAAACGGAAGGCTTTATCATAGTAAAAGTCTAGTGAGAATTACAGTTACAATATTTATGTCTACTTTATCTTTTATCATAACTAAGGAAAGCTAAAAATTCTTCAACTCCATCAAGAAAAGAGTAAGTACATTGTAAGCAACTTCCACAACTCTAGAATTGACAGAGATATCTCGCCACCTGAACAGTCACCCAAAGTTCTTTTTTATCATTGGGGCATCCACCTTCAACCTACAGGCCCATAGTATTCAGCTGACTTTTCTATGAAGCAGGAAATTTCAAAAACAGGTCTGGCTATACTGGCAGTTTGCCAGACACTTTCTTCTGTACCCTGCAGATTGTCTCGCAGACTCTTTCATGAAGCAGGAACCCCGACATATCATCTCACCTTTAGGCAAGTTCAGCATTTATTTCTCTGTGGGCCCTGCATGTTCAGTTCACATAGCATAGCATGAAGCAGTCCTGGCAAGAGCAGTCTCTTGCCCAAAGGGCTGACAAACTCCATAAGGAGCTTCTTTGGTGTACATTATCCTTTTGAAATAGCTTGGTGCTGCCCGGAGCAGATGTGTCTCATTGTCATAAAAAATCCTAAGTTATTAAAAACATTTTAAATGCCATATTCTGAAGGTCTTGGAAAGATTTAAAGAATATCTTACTGAAATATCTCTCTATAGATAGATAGGTAGATAGATAGATAGATAGATAGATAGATAGATAGATAGATAGATAGATGATAGATAGATAATAGATAGATAGATCTAGAAAAATCTAACTAATATGACTACAATCTTGATTACTATAGATGACTATCTATTAACTTATATTTCTTAATTATATAATACATTTTAAATAAACCACACAAACACAATACCTTAAGATCAGAAATACACATACATATAACAAAATTAATCTTCAATTTGTATCAATAAACCAAGATATATACCAATGCAAATTATTCATATTTATATAATATCCCCCTTTAAATGTAAACAGACATTTATAGACAATATTTGGGACTATGGGCATCATTTTGTACATACTTCTTCCTGCTTATTGGGGGCACTGTTAATCATGTCTTTTGTGGTGTATCCTGTGTGCTAGGTTTATCTCAGTCAGCGGTTGGGCAAAGTAATTTTTTGAGGGTGTTCCCTATGACCTTCCAGGGTGAAGTGGTCTATCAAACCATATTGGTCTAGGAGCAACCCACAGGTTCTCATCTTTTGTGAAAACAAAAGAAGAATCTCTTCCAAAGCAACATATTTTTAGACTCAAATTTTGAAGTCAAGATACCTTTATAATATACATGCTGGTTTAGCTTAGCAGCCCATACAATGAAATGTCTCTCTGTACTTAGCTCGTTCACAGTCAAAAAATTCAAAGAAAACACAATAATATACATAATCCAGACTCTCTGTGAAATTTCCATCTTTATGTGGCTTTTTTTCTTTACTCCTTTTAATCTATGACTATCTGTATTATGTCTCTTTAAAGACTTTATCTTTTTTAAAGCATTAACTATATTTTATGACTCTGTATACTCTTTTCCTTTTCTCTTCCAAGCCTATGTACATTTATCCATCACTATGACTCATCTGGATTTGCCTTTATTGCATATCTGTAACCATTTCTGATCAGAAGTGCTTCTTAAAATGCTAAGCACTTAAGAATCTAAGCTGAGATATTACTAGAGCAAATAAGGTACTGCCTGCTAACCCCACCCAGTCCAGCATGGCAGAGCTGCTTGTGCCTCTGAGCCACTTACACAGCCCACATCCAGGCACACAGCTGGTCCAAGTTGCCATCAAGCAAGCTGTAGCCGTCTGCTTACCAACCCCATCCAAATGCTCTGTCCCCTGAAAAAACCAGAGGTCACACTGGCAGCATAGCACAGAAAGCTGGCATTTTCAAACAGTCGTGGAATTTTTCCTGCTACTGTGGAATCAGAAAAACTCTCTTAAAGGAGCTGCAGCAAGCCACCAGCAAACAACAAGATGCTGTGTTAAACTCTGTATTATTATTTTTTTCTAGAACTCCTTTTCAAGCTTTCTCAGGTTTTACGTAGATATAGTCGACCACGTTGGAGTATCAATTTGTAGTAGGAAAGCCTGCTTGTTCATCCTGCTGCCCAGTTCCTGGCTGTCCTGCTAGCTTATCCCTAAAATAGTCACACTGAAGCTGTATTTATTAAATCACTGCTTGGCCCATTAGCTCTGGCACCTATTGGCTAACTCTTACATTTTAATTTAACCCATTTCTATCAATCTGTATATCACTATGATCTCGTGGCCTACCATCAAAGTTCTGACATGTCTGACTCTGGCAATGGCTCCAAAGCACCTCTTCTTCCTCCCAGCATACAGCCTAGCTTTCCCCACCTAGTTCTGAGTTCTGATATTCCCTGACATAAGCTCAAACCAGTTTTTTATTCATTAACCAATAGAAGCAACACATAGAAGGACTTCGCACACCACTTTAGGAAAAAATTTCACTTTCTCCATGTCTATTTTGTCTATAATGCATTCTTCATTGAATGTGTTTATATGAATGTTAAGTTTCCCAAAGTGAACAATAGATTTTTCTATAGATCTTTTTCCTGCAGTAATCTTTGAACTTTACAGGAAGAAGATGGTGCACCATAGCAACAAATCCACCTGGTTGAGATGACATCATGATGCTGATAGCACTACTATAAGACCGGTTTTGGGGGGTGCCAGCTGCTGAAATGGTGCACCTTCTCATGATGTTCTGGCCAGAAATCTAAGTAAGAACTTTGGGGAAAAAAAAATCTTATTAACTGCTCAGAAATTATTTGCAACTATACTAGACAGTAATTTTTAAACATAACCATCACTTTAATTTTTCAGGATCCCATAAAGAGAACATCACCCTTATGACAGTGGGAAGCAATTGTAGAGGACAATGCCCCCTATATACAAAAAAAAGTTTTTCTTCAAGGTTGGGATCAATGTTTAGGGGTTGTTGAATGTTACTTAAATTAGGTAGAGGGCTGGGGCTGAAACTATGTGTGTTCTTAAAAAATGGATAATAAATACTAGTGGGTAATAGAGTGAATACTTGTGAGCTATTATTTATGGATAATTTACATTGGTATAGTTTTTGTATATTTATACAAGTTCAAATTATGTTTGTTATTTCTGTTTACAATATTTGTACATCTATGCAAAGTTGTTCTGTCAGATTGTATATATGTATGCTTCTACCTCTGTTTAGAATATTTTGTATATTAATACAAATTTTAGTATATATTTTCATATTGCATTATATATTACTTCTACCTCTGATCAGGATACTTATACATTTTTTACATTTTGAGGTCATTGTCCTCATTTGTTGCACATTTGTTTGCAGATTATTTAATATTCTGACATGAAGTGTTGGTCCTTAAGTTATACAGGGATTAAATATTATAGGTCAATAGTTGTTCATGTTTGTTGTACATACAGTCAGATCATTTAGGTTTTTTAGATACAGAGAAATTGTATTCTGTATAGATAGGTAGTCTTCAAGTCTTTAACCACTTCAAGGATCTATAGAACATGGCATTTAAATAATTTAGGGTTCTGTTGACATGAGACATGATTTCTCCTGACAGCACCAATCTATTCCCAAGAGAATGTTGAGTACCAAAACACTCCACTCAGAGTTTGTTTTCTTCTTGGCACAATTGGCCTGTGGGCAAGGAGTTGCCCATACCTCAACCACTAACAAAGTACATGGAATCTGGAAATTGAGAATCAGAACTCAAGGAAAAAAACTGTCAAATCTTGCCAAGAGACTGTAAAATGGTTCTGAAATTCTTTCCGTCTCGGAAAATGGTCTGTCAGCTACATGAGGCCTTAGCCAAAGTTGGTTGCTTCAATATTGCAAATGACACTTTGGATGATTTCTTAGGTATCTAATTGTCACCATCATATATTGCTCACTTTGGAAGCTGCTTGATTGTACTTCCTGCCTGCTCAAGTAATATTGTCTCTCTTCTCAGGCCTTTGATGGGTTTGAAGATGAGATAGTTGTAGTTACTGTACTCTTATGATCTAGCCAAACCATATCCAATTCCAGACTTAGACTCCATAGGATAGAATGTTTATTAAAACATTTACCATATGTTTCTTGTTTAATATTGTTTATGCTGGTTGTAATTCTAACTATACTTGATATCCGTTACTAGTGTATATAGTATTGGGTCTGGCACTCTCTTATTTAAACAAAAGGAGGCACTGTGGGAGCACATTCCACTCCTTCAGTCAATAGCATTTAAGATTCCAATCTACTTGGGCATGATCTCTTATACTAAAATGCAACGGTAAAGCATGTGCTCTCTCTCTTGTTTCTAGATCTCTTTTCTGGCTGCAAAATTCAGTTGCTATTCCCCATTCCAGCAGAGGATTGTGATCTGTGAGTCTACCCCTAAATTAATAACCCTTTATTATTCATAATTCTGAACTAGTGTGGGATTATCTTGTAACTTTCACCTCCATGCATAAAAAATAAACATGAATATATTCAGAACTCAGAAATCAGAAAAATTCATCATTCATTATCCACTGAGTTGCTCTCCCAGTTCTATGTCTCTGTGATTCTTTCTTATCTCTGTCCTTCATACTTAACACTTCTAACCCTCATACCCCTACCCTGGAACGCATGAACCTGCTGTGGCTAGGATCACACCAAAATTTACCCTGTAAGGTGCTTCCTGATATATGGCAGTCCAACATGGTGTGGCCCATAAGACCTGAAGCAAGTTGTCACTAAAACAAGTAATTTAAAAATTACTCTAACACTATAAAGGAAGTGTTGCCGTAAAGACTTGAAAAAAAGAAGAGCCTAGTTTAAAAGACAAGGAATTATAATCATCTCAAAGACACATCTCAAAAAAAAAAAAAGGTCTCATTTGACCCTATGATCTAAAAACAGCATCCAGATAAAGGTTTAAGGGAGGAAATTGTTACAGATTTTTAAACCCTAACAATGGAAAAAGCTAAAGTGTTTGAAAAGAAAAAGTAGTTTATTTGCTGAAAGTGCTGAGAAGAGTGTGAGAGAAGTGAGATGGGAGGGTTTGGAAGGCAACAGGTAATGCAAGCTTCATTTGACCAAATTCACTATGCAGTCACTCCTAAAATTAAGCACATGTACAACTTATGTATGAACCTTTGAAAATGTATTTATCTAACTGCTGTGACGTGGGCTAATATCTATTTATACTTCTGAATTGTGTGTTGATTAAAATTCTCTAAAGGACAAGAGGAAACAAAGAAGAAGTTTTTAATTATTGTTGAAATGGGAATAGACTCTTAAATAACATCTACACTTGTTTAAAATTCTACTGTGACCCCCACATTACATTAAACTATTTCACAAGAACAACCCACCTAATGTACAATTATGACTCCAGAGGGATAGAAGTACCTCATGGCAAGGAAGCAGATCAGTAAGCAGAATATGTGGTAACTGGGGCAGGAAGATGAGATTTCACATCCTCAAACAAAATACAAAGCAAAGACTGAACTGGAAGTAGGTGAGGCTTTTAACTGTTAATGCCCCGTGCGGTGATGCACTTCCTTGATTAAGAATGTACCCCTAATCCTCACCAAACAAAGTCATCAACAAGAACCCAAATGTTTAAATTCCTGAGCCTAGGAGGGACAGTTCTCAATCAAAATACCACAACTTGATTTTGCTTTTAATGTTTATTTTGAATTTTATTAATCCCAATTTATAGTGATGTCATACCTTAAATTTTCTACATTCTTTTCATTTATTAATTTGTTTGTGGGTAGGAAAGTACAGGAAAAGAGGGCACAGGACAGCTTGCAAAAGATGGTTCTTTGTCTTTGTTCCAGGGATCAAAATACCTTGTCAGGCTTGGAGGTAAACATCACTTTCCACTGGGGCATCTACCTGGCTCCACTTTAAAGCTTTTAATCTAAGGTAATTTTGAAAATTAATACCCTTTTGCTCTGAGGACACATGAGTAAAATGAATACTGGACCAAAGTGGCCACCGGAATGTGAGAAAGTCTTTTGAGAACATCTGATAATGCATCCATCCTTGATTTCGTGTGTGTGTGTGTGTGTGTGTGTGTGTGTGTGTGTGTGTGTATACTCTACCTTCGGGTTGAACTGAGGCCCTCCCATAAACCAGGTAAGCTTTGTACTACTGACATACAACCACATCTCTACAAAGGGCCTTTAGATGGTCTAGATTTCTCAAATACTTGTTTTTAATCAAGAAGTCTATGACCAGTTTTAAATTATGAGGGAAAAAATATTCCAGCCATCTTTGCTACATGATTTTTAATAACCTCATTAAATTTATCTGTGCACTAAACAAAATGATCAACTGTTTAACAAGAGTAACTTAAAAAATGATTGAATATAAGAGATGATACATTAATGAGAAATAGTATTTTGAAAACAGCATGTTTCCAAAGAACAGTTTACAACCCCTAGATAGATACAGACATATGCTGATGCCTTGCATTAAGAAAGAATAATTATTTCAATGACACAAACAAGATACATATTTTCAGTTCTAAATACCTCCACCATGGCAACCTAAATTCAAAGAAACTGAATAGTGTCTCAGGATTGGACAAGTTCTAACACTCTTTGCAGATATGTGAGAAACATACACTTGCTTTGATTGAGTTAGAAGAGAAAATGCTGATTGAAAATGAAGGCATCTCTAAAGTTCAGTGTGGTAGGGTCACCATAATCTTCACTGGGATAGCCTCTTTTTTCTTTCCTTTGGTTTTTCAAGACAAAGACATGGTTTCTCTGTAGCTTTGGGGCCCCTGGGATAATCTGAAGGACTACCCCAATATTCTGAAAATGCTTTCAGTAAATATTTTTATCATGAGTAAAATATTATTTGAGGTTCTTCAGAATAAGAAAAGAGTTCCGATAGTTTCTCTCATGATTGAAAAGAACCAAATGCACAATGACATGGTCAATAGAAACCTCATTACAGCCTTGTTTTCAGTTCTCTGCCATTCTCAACCTCAGGACTTCTGTGCACATCCATGCACTCACTTTCTTTCTCTGTGAGCTTCATCTCTGCATGTTCAGTTTCTAGAGAGTCAGTTTCCCCAGGGAGTTGGACCTTCCTCATAAGTTTTAGAATGAAGATTGCCGGGAGGTAGCTTGATCCTCTTAGAGCTGCTGACAACCCAAGGTAAATATACCTGTTGAAAACAACTAATCTGTATTAAATCTTACTTTGTTCAGTGAAAGAAGTTTGTATATCCTCACAGATCATTTATAATCAGATGGTTATTTTGCCCACATACTTTATATAATCTACTTTGCTAAATTATTAATCCTGTTTGTTAAAATGTTGAACATTTCCAACATAAAAGTATAAATGAACTTCTTAAGGTTGGTGATGGCTAGTTTCCTTTGTCAACTTGACTAGACTTGGGATTGTTATAAAAATGCATATCTGAGTATGCCTATGAGATGTTTTCAGAAAGGGTTAGCCTAGGTTGAAGTTCCACCAAGAACGTGAATACCATATGCTGGACTTCTAGGATTCAGTGCTTCCTGACAGAGCATGTGACATGACCAACATCCTCAAACTCCACCACCATGCCCATCTTCTGCCATAACCTCACACTCAGACCAATGCCCCCTCAGTCATTATCACCTGTTCTCTTAAATATTCTGCCAAATATCCTGTATCAGGTTAAAGGAACTTCCGTGTTCTGTTTGCTCAAATTTTGATGTATAAAATGTATAAATTATCTTTGTCACCTTTCAATATTTTTCCCTATTCAACACTTGTATGCTATTTTATGCCAACAAATTTTGTGATATTGAAATACTTGTATGTCAAGAAGTTTAATGACTCACTTTTATATATTAGTATATTGAATTTGATAATTTTTCATGCAAATTAAACATAGAGTAATCAATTTTTCTTTATGAACTATGTGCATGTGTTGGGGGTCTGTAGTATTCATGAATTTGGGAAATGAAGTCACAGGAAGTTGGGAGTTACACAACATGAGTTAAGGGAACTGACCTTATCTGCTCTCAAAGAGCAGTATGTGCTCTTAACCCCTGAGCCATCTCTTTCGATCCAAATTATTTTTCTGTTTCTTGAACTTGTTCAGTTAAAGCATGAAGACTATAAAAGCTTCCTGAAATGAATTGAGTAATTTCCCCTTTCACTACTTCTGAGAATAACCTTTATACTGTTACAAGCATCTGTACTTTGTAAATTTGATAAAATATGCTTTAAGGTTTCTGGACTTAATGTGTTTAGGAAATAGGTATCTTGACATATACATATTTCTAAAAAATATGAAAACTCCCTTCATGTTCTCAACATACATAAAATCTGGTGTGATGGATATTGCTGTCAACTTCATACAATCCAGAATCTCGTGGGAAAGAAGTTTTAGTGAAGGCCTGTGTGGATTGTCTTGACCTGTGAACATTTTTGTGGGAGATATTTTGATTACATTAACTGTGGTTAGAAGACCTACCACTCAGTGGGTGGCACCATTCCTTAGGCAGGAAATCCTGAACTACATGATCATGCTTTACTTCTTCAATAGGAAAGTATAAAGATATTATATATGTGATGATGCTTAAGACTTCAGATACAACAGTCTAGAAATACAATTGAAATTTTTCTAGATGTATAATAGATTAACAAATATCTTAGTTTATTTTTCTGCCACTGTTATAAAACACCCTGACAAAATCAATTTGAGTAAGAAGGGGTGATTTTGCTCAAGTTCTGGTTTAAAGTCCATCATTCTGGGTATGTCAAGACAACTGGAACTTTAACCCACATGGATACACAGACGGAAGTAGTTGACTGTTACTATAGGCATATCAAGCTGAGAATGGGATAGTAACCACCCCCAGCCATACACACATGGGAACAGGACAATGGCCAGCACTTTTCTTTCCCAGAACTTTTCAGTATTCTCCTCACCCAGAATCAGAATCTGGGTCCCACCTAGAGAAGGCCTAAATTCCTTTTGACCAATGAGTTTTTAGGAGCAAGAATGAGAACAGTGTAGTCTGTATCAAACAAAGTTTCTCTGTGAGCTTTCTTGGGCCTGTTGCCCTAGAAAGCCAAAAAGGTAACAGCTAAAGTCTGTTTTACGATCAGCCTAGCAAGACCTCTGGGCTTGGAACTGCAGTGACCTCACAGTTACTCCACGAAACTGTTCGTGACTAGTGCCTGTGTATCACTGAGAATGGTGGCAACCATGCAGAAACTGCTTTTAGTCTATGCAAGAGCATGAAAGCACACAACTGGATGCACCCAGATTTCAGAGGGCAGGCTCCCTGGTCTGCTGGTTCTTGAGAGTAATGGCCTCAGTTATTGCTATGTGTGCTAACTTCCTCCCCATTTGTGACACTTTCAGCTGGCTTGTATCACAATCCCTCTGCTGAGCCACGTTTTGTTCATGAGGCAGACAACCACTACGTGTAATGAAGCATCTATGGGTTCCCAACAATGAGACCATCAGTCAAATTCAGGTATAAGGTTCCTTCTCAAGATAGCCGTGGCTACGGCACCCTACGTGTGCAGTTTATATTAAACTGCAAGGGCAGCACACAGATCGGGCTCTTTTTATATCAGGCTGCAAGCTTGAGAGGGCTGTGAACTTTCCAAAAGTTAGAATGTCAGGATCCATGCTGCTTAAATGCGCTGGGACTGTCATCTTGACCCTGAAAGAAAGAAAGATCTTGGGGTGGGGTCGGAGGGGGGTAAGGGGAGATGGGGAGAGAAAAGTGAGAAGGGGAGG